ATATCTGAATGTTAAACAGTTGCTCTTGGGAACTAATTTGATTGTTTGAGTTTAGACTCTTCAAATTGTCTTTTGTAATTATATTTTCTCATCATTTCAGGAAAATGAATTATAAATTGCTTTATGTTGGAAGTGTCTGTTAGAGACCGTGAATACTGAATTACATGTTTTGCAGGTAAACAGCCTTCGACAGGAGCTGCAAATGTTGGCATCAAGTAGACCAGTCACAATTGTAACTGCAAATGGGACAGGTTTGGATTCTGATCCTTCTCTTGCATCTGAAACAGGAGATGAGTTATGTTTCATTCATCTTTTTCTAAACATATATCTATGGAATAAACTGATCGAAATGGAGATGGAACTTATCCCATCTACAATGCAAAATATGAAATACGCTAATATAAATGTCTCTCCTGCTCTTTCTCAAATATCAAGCTTAAGTGTGTTATATAATATCGAGTTGGATTTTCCTTTGCAGTTAAATTTTATGTTCTCTTGCAATAATGAAATTTCTGAAAATCCATGATGCAATGCACACCAGAATAAATTTATTGACTATTCCTGTAATCTCCACTTTTCTTGGAGGGGGAGTGGTGTTGTAATGCTGTCAGTCCTAAGTCATAATGTACCTGAAAAATTGATGTGCATAGATATCCTTGTTCTACTCAATCTCTTACCTTCCCTTCTTTATAACACGTGGTATGTACATCACTGAACTGTATCTGATTTCTCATTCCTCAATGGCATGCTTTGACAGTTTCTTGTTTTGACCTTCAATTAAAGCTGTCTAATGATGTTGCATACACATTGTGAGCATGGGTTTTCGTTTACTTATTTTCTTACCTTTTAATTTCCAATTTGGGAAATGTACATAATTGAAATTTATCTGGATGCTCAATAGTACGCTGTGTTGGTTCATATTTAACCAACAATTGAATTTATCTTTGCTGTTATACTTCTGGGTGCATGAGTGCGAGTTTGTATCTCTTTGCAACTTCATCTCTGTATAATCTCTCGAGAAATCTTAGACTATCTTCTTAATTCTTGATATCAAGTGCTGTTCTTCCATATAAGCAATAGCTTTTTACTTATCCATCTGTGTAAATTCCTATAATGTATTTTAGCTTTGATTATGCACTTATTCTGGACTGTTCTCTGACGCTATATTAATATGCAGGTTCTAATAAATATGGTGTAGTTGTTGTGGTGGTAGTTGTTGGATATGGCTATGTTTGGTGGAAGGTAATGGTTTTCTTTTTTGCTTGATAATTTGACGTGATGTGTATATAGGCACAAATTTCTAACACCAAATGATATACCATAAAGATCTGATTCATATTTTTGGTATTACAGCATTAAAATGGAGTATAATTAATACTAGCAATAATTTTGTAGAGGTCCTCAAAATATCTTTCTTCCATTGAGACTTGAAGTATTAACCAGATTCAGCAATTGGAAATAATACTTAAGATTATTATCACTATGCTGCTTGTTGATATATTTTGAGCTTCATTTTGTTCTTTGGTTTGACTGGTGCTTTATTTTTATAATGCTCTATACTTTCAGGGCTGGAAACTTCCTGATATGATGTTTGCAACCAGGCGTAGTTTATCTGATGCTTGCACTTCTATAGCCCAGCAACTAGAGAATGTTTATGCATCAATCCGGGTAAGTTTTTGAACTTTTTGTATCTTTTATCCATCTAATAAAAAAGGGCTGGAACTTTTTATTGGTCGTTAATGGAATTTAAAATATAGAGTGTTCTTATCCCAATGCAAAGTCTTTTGGTCTCTAGAGTACCAGGAGGCATTTATCTTCAAAGATCGATGGCGTGGACTCAAATTTGAATGCTGTTGCAGAACTGACAGCCAGCACTCAAGAAAAGGTGGGTCTAACCTAGTTATTTGCTAATATTTTGGTGCAGTAGTTGTACTTACATAAAAAGTATGTTGACACTTGTAGGTTATTGAATTGCGAGAAGATTCAAGTAGGATTGGCAATGATGTTCGATATGTTCGTGATGCCGTTGAAACTCTGGTGATCAGTCTTGATACTCATATTTCCTTTTGCTCATCAAATCTTTATAAATTCATTATAGATGTGAAATCAAATGCTTATTTGATTCATATTCTTTTTTATTCTTTTAGGAACTAAAAATTAGCAGAATTGAAGGGAAACAGGTAATTATCATATCAACATCATACACAGTGCTATCAGTTGTTTATTCTACCTGTGGTTACTGTTATAAATTTTGATTTTATATCAACATCGTATGCAGTGCTATCAGAAAATATTAGGAATTGCACCTGTGGTAACTGTTATTGATTTTGATACATGTTTAGGATTTGACGACCCAAGGAGTAAAGAGGTTGTGTGACTATGCCTCCAGTTTGGAAAACAACTTACTTGAAGAGAATATCCAGGCATGTCATCACCTTTTTGTTTCCTTTTGGCCTTTTCAATACTCTGTTACTGAACTTTACCATTCACCATGGTCCACAAATTCTGCAGACTTCAGCATCCAGTTCACGGCTAACATTCTCATCAAAGGTAATATTTTTCTTCTGCGTTAGGGCACGTGTCTGATAAAACATTTTAAATAAAGTAGTTGTTCTTGTTATTGGAGACACCATATCTATATTTCTAAACTAGATATTGTCTGTTTTACTGTCTTGGTTAGTGGGGAGATGTATTTAATATTGGAATTTAATTACTTTTACTGGACATGCCCTGGCCGAAGCATTCTGTTATCCCAAACCAGAGGCCACATGCTTAAAATAGCTTTGCTTAAGTGCTTGCATATGTTCCAAATATGGTTTCTGGTGCCTAAAGTTTTCACTAGTTTTTGTGTTGTTATTTACCAGGCTGGGGCATTGCCTGCTCCATCAAGTGAACCATCAACTCCTGCTTCGATTGGATCTCAAGAGGTTTGTTTACTTTTGAAAATTTGTTGCCTGTGGCCAAAATAAATTTCTGCGAGCATCAATGAGAGATTTTTGACAATTATTCATATATTGCGACTTACCCTGTTTTCCAGTCCATGAATAATCTAATATAGCCATCTTACAAGTTTAAAGAATTTCTTTATGACTTTTATTTCATGCTAATAGCTTGATTGATGTTCCCTTTTCAGTTTTGTTTTTTACAGCATAGGATAACTTCTCTGTCTGGAACTCTTCCCAGCATTTTTAAGAATATAATTACCTCAATTTTCTTTCCTTGATTTTTCCCTTTCCCAGGTCCAAAGGCCCCCTCGTAATGCTGCATCACCCTCAAGCCAGCAGGTTCAGCTTGGATTTCAATTTGCAGTTTACATCCTTTTTTTATTTATTTATATAATTTCTTGACATCTAACTTTTTCAACGTAACATTTCCAGAGAAGTAACGGGATTTCAGGAGTGGCTGAGCTTGCTAGCGGCCTCGGGATTTCTAAAGGTATCCTTACAGAAGAAGAAACAAGTAATCGAACGAGCTGGCTTAAACCTGCATTTCTTATGAGAACGCGAAGTGCAACAAACAGTGTAGTGCAACAAACAAGTTCAAGCAGACAGCAATCGTGATGGTTTTTCCATTGAAAACCATTTTATTTCCGTGCGGCAATTAGTTTTACTCTGGGAGGTCCTTGAAGTTTGGTTGTTCTGGTGATGAGTCTCTCCCTATGAATATAAATACCAGGATGGTGCTGAATTTTGTAGAGATTCTTATTTTGTAAGGTTAACTATCATTTTTGACATGTACAATGTAGGTTAGGAATATGAATAATTAATCTTAGAGGGGGGGGGGGGAAGGGGTTCAAGGTACTTCTTAATACCTACGAGAGTTCCCGCTTAAAAGGATTGCGTCAAATAATTTTGGAAGAACTCTCCTAGCAATGCCTTGAGCTTGACGATGAATTCATTTTTTCGATGTGTTGATACTTGGAAGTGTGTGTCGATGGGGCAGACAGTTTTTGGTTTAAGATTGTTAGGCATTCTCATTCCTTGGAACAATCAACATGATATCGAAGACCAATTGAAATAATCTTTCCAGAATGGTGCGTTATCCTGCTTATTTGGTCTCTTGCTACTTCCAGAAATGTGTTGTCAACATTTTTCTTCGTTTATGGACTCCACCCGTCATTGGGATATATTAATTTTTTATTTTATTATGTCTTACAAAATACTATGATTAAATACTAAATGCTAAAATTCAATAAATCTCCTACGAAATGGTGGAATTGGCAACGAAAGAAACTGAAAGATATAAAATAAAGTGCGAAAATATCTTAACTTGATTTTCTGATTAGTATTTAATTTATGGATTTAATTTGGTCGATTTTTATTTATTTATTATATGATAAAAATATAAAAAATAATTTATTATCAATATAATATTAAAGATAAAATTGAATAAAAATCTCTTTTTAAATAATGAACTTAAAAAAATAATAATTAAAATAAAACCTCAAAAAATAATATGGCTAAGAAAAAAACTGAACTGCACTATAATGGACTAGACCTGAAAGGAGGGCACGAACGCTGGCTCGAGTAATGCCCATGCGTCTAGCTTCTTCTTCTTTTTTTTTCTCCTATCCTTTCTTTTGTTTTTTCAAAAATTAAAAAAAAACAAACATGAAGTTTTAAAATCAAATCACTCAAACTTGCAACCTTGTATGTGTAACTGTGCTTCAGCCAAATGAATTATCACATCAGTTTGTTCTAAGACTTATAAGATAACATATTAACCATTTTTTTTTAGTTTGGAGAAAATATGGCGCCCCAAGTCTTAAACTCGCAATCTCAAGTTATTTTCACGTGTTAATCACTGAATTAAGACTTTTTTTTTTAAATTGTCAGTATAATATAATTTTATGTTTTCAATTTTGTAACAAAAAAAAAAAAAGTGTAAGAAGAGGGAAGCGGCGAGGAAAATATGTTTTCGAGGGGCCGAGTTTCCTGGGGACCACGAGTTAACACGCCATGGTCTACCCTCTGCAACCGAGTTTCATTGGATAATAACTCGTTTCCCGCCAATGAAGCCCTCCTTTGGCGCGCTAACACACAGAGAAAAAACAGAAATAGAAAATGATGTTAAAAAAAAAGAAAGAAAAAAGAAAAATCAGATCAGTTACTAGTTCTATTTTCCATTACAAGCATAAAGTGGATTTCTAGTGAGAGAGAGAAAGAATGGAGATAGTCAAGCCTCAATGGAAGAAACCACCTCCATCTGCAAACGACGTAGTTTCCACCCTCCCTCTCTACCGCTCCGCCCCCCCTCTCGAAGTCAGACTGGAAGATTTCGAGCTCTACGCCATCGATCGCCTCCGCGGTAACTTTTCCTTCTTTTCGTTACCTTAATTATTAACTAACCAATTAATTGCAATTTCTAGGGTTTAATTTACTCACAGAAATCAATAAAATTGTCTCTTGATTTTCCAGTTTTAAAAGGTGTATCAGACGGACTTTCTCGCGGAAAAAGACCGGAAGAAATGGAGAAATTAGTAAATGATTTGTGGAAAGCAAATATGAGGCATCCACTGCCATCTGAAGTTACTAATAAAGATATCATATCTCACTTCGTTTTACGTCTCGTCTATTGTAGAACGTAAGTAAGATTGCTTCATTATATATTTATTTTATAGCGAACTTTACGTATTCTCTTCAAATTTTGTGATTATTGTTGGTGTGTATGTCTGCCTGTCAGAGAGGAGCTGAGGAAATGGTTCCTTTCCAATGAGATTGCACTTTTTAGATACAGATTTCGGCTTCTATCCCCTGAAGCTCAGGTGAGATTCATCCATTCATTAGGTCATTAATTTCTTAGTTTAGTTAGTTCCTAGTGTCGGATGCTGACTGGTATGCAGTTTTGAATTTGCAGAGGTTGCTTATGGCCGAGTTTGATCTTCCATACAAGCCTGTTACCACTGCAGAATTTGAGGTTAATTAAATTAAATATAATGCCAAGGCATTTTAGGTTTTTTTTAATCACTCTTTGTAATTGCTTGCAAACATTTTTCAAAAAAATCACCAATTCTTGGTTTTAGGGTTATTTTGACCTATTTTACTTGACAGGGTGTAAAGGAAAAATTGCATCTAGTTGCCCGATCAACTGGTCAGCTTAAACCCACTGGTAAGAGCAGATTGGTTGCTTGTTTCATTGTAATCCCCTCCTTTTTTTAATTATCTCTGCAGTAAGCAGTCGCTTACCATTTTAAATGACCGCAAGTAACAGCATATAATGTGTTTTGTTTCAATTGTGGTTCTGTTAGTGCACCCCTGAATCATTGCCTGGTTGGCAAATGGACTATTTCATATATATTAAGTTCTTTGATATTAGTCTTCTTCTCAATGGTCGGGAGTGAAACAGATCACTGATAATGATAACATTTCATTGCACAACCTAAATGCTAAAACAATTCATGCATGGGACCAATTTCCATCTAATTCATTTTCTTAATGAATTCAGTGCTCAGCTTCATTTTTCTTTAATAGCCTTATTACCCCGCCCATTCATTCACTACCACCTCTATGCAAACTAGACTAAGATCCATTCATAGCCAACAATACACCAATTTCTGAGTTGAGGCATAATTTCAAAGGAATATGCTACTCACACCCAGTTGAATAATGAAAGGCTTTTAGATGTTCACATAGCTTACAGTTTCCTGAACGAGTAGATGTTACTCTTTTGCCCAAATTCAGCAATCTTGAAAGTACACTGGTGAGATAACAAAGAGTGATTTCTGTTATGATCATCTCCTTGCTGTCAAATACCTATTAATAAGGCAGGCTGTCTATATAATTGGTTTACTTCATTTTATTCTGTTGTGGAATTTTAATAAAAATTAACCAACATTTTTGGTGGAGAAAATTATGTTTCATCTTACCTTATGTTTTACATGTTTAGGGCTTAAGACCATAGCCCATCTCTGACAATTTGTTTTCATTTCACATTTACAATTCTAATCCACTTCCTTCTTCTTTTTTTTTACATTCTTTCCTTTTTTCAGCATCTGATGCCATATTCTACAAGGTTTGTTTGTTTACCTCTGCTTGATTACTTTACTTAATCTACACAAAAATGATAGTCTTAGCTATTTTGAACTGAAGGTACCATTTGAAGAAGTTCCTGAACTTGTGGCTGGTCGTAGAGTCTTCATCTGTAAAGGCTATGCTTATGTTGCTATGAATCAGGTGGAGCGAATTCTTGTTTCAATCATGGCATTACACCTTGATAATGTATATCAACAATCTGTTAATGTATCTCTGCTTTCATTTTCTAGGTTGTTTCCCTTGTTGTTACCCAGTTCCGCGGTCTTCTATCAAAAGCACTTGTTCTAACAAACAGGTGGTTATTTCTCAATGGTTGATGTTCGAAAGCTCCCTTCTGTGTTTTGTTTGAATACCTGCACTGATCTTAGTTATGCAAATAAAAGAACTAAGATTTTGATGTATTGAAAGAAAGGTTTAATTTCATAGTGTCCAAGGTCATGTTGATGACTGCAACATTTCTTTCCATTGCTGCACAATACATGCTATGCACTTGCCTTTATAGAACTGGGTTTGCGTTCTTTAATATTGAAGTCTTATATTGAATGTTTTTTGTTTGCAGAAAATGGACATCTACCATCAGAGAAGAAGAGAAGGATCGCCTAACTCCTGTGGGTATCGAATCATGAACGTCTTAAGTTTAGATTGCTATTTTTGTTTTATTTTTGAAATGCAGTGCTTCACATGTAATTTTGGTGCCTTTTAGATCGTGGAAACCCTATGCACAAGCTATCTGGGTCCTGACTATTCTCAGGTTCTTTGTTACCTCTTATAAGCTCATTTCTGCTGCCTTTAGATCACATGGTCAAGTTAACCATGAAGAGTTTGGTTCACATCATTTGCAGCCCAAAGAATTTGCTGAAGTATCAATTAAAGACATTGACCAAGTAGCTAAGAGTTCATTTCCCCTGTGCATGCGTCACCTGTTTGAAAAAGTGAGAAATTTTGATCATTCAAACAAGTCTTTTTACCAATCCTCTTTCAAGTGGGGATCTTTAATCTTTTCTTTTTCTCTTTTCCAGCTCAGCTTTTTCTTCCTGCATAAAGTTGTTAGTTTTCAACCAAGTCTTCACAATTTCCTCTCTTTTTCATTTACTTTTCCATGAATGTTTGTGCAGCTCAGAGAAGATCATCATTTAAAGCATGGAGGGAGGATGCAATTGGGTCTCTTTCTCAAGGTTGTATTGCACTTTACACCTGTCTTGTTAAACTTGTGCATATTAGCTGATTTAGGATCATTACTCATTCTTCTAGCTTGTCCTACATTCTATCCCCTCGATTTGGTTATGCCCTCATCATGTACCTGCAGAATTTGCTGTAGGCAATCTCCCTTGTGTCTTTGCCTTGTTTCTTTTATTTATCTGAGAAAAAGCTGTATAGCAGTTGATAATGTTTAGCCTTTTTCACCATGCTTGATAATTGGTAATGTGTTTCCTTTATCTGCATGCTAGGGTGTCGGATTGAAATTAGATGACGCTCTTGCATTCTGGAAAGCAGAGTTCTCCCAAAAGGTTAGTAGCTCAGTATAATCTTCATGAATATGTACAAAATTGTGGTGTTAATTTAACTACCAATTTCTTATAGATGTTGCCGTTTGTATATTTAACTTTGTATGTTAGGAAGTTGCATTTTATAATAAATTAGCAAAAGGAGAGCAGATGTCTAGTAATCTCTCTCCATAATTAAGCATTTTAGATCAACATACAATTTCAAGGTGCCATACTTTTCATATGATCTCTTGGTTCCTGGAAATCAAATGCTAATCAATAATGTTCCTCATCTTTATATCTTTTTCCCCTTTCTGTAGGTCGGAGCTGAGAGGTTTGACAAAGAATATGCATACAGCATTCGCCACAATTATGGAAGAGAAGGGAAGAGAACAGTAAGATGTCTGGCCCATCACCATCATTATGTAGATGTTGTATGCGTTGTCATTGTCATGCTAGACTGGTTAGATTGAGATTATGCATCATATTACAATTAAGAAGAATTATAAAATGAATATGATTTGGAAATTTAGTAGCATTAGAATTCAATTTCCTGATTGATATAATTCTTGGTGAATTGGTCTTTAGTCTCTTTTAGTTCTTTTGGAACTTGGTAGTCATTCCTCTGCTTGCATTTATGTTCATTTGTTAGTGTATCATGACTGCCTAAAAAATGTAGTTTTTTTGTTTTTGCAGGATTATACTCCTTATTCCTGTCAAAAAATAATCTCATCAACTCCTGGTGTCGGAGATCATCATGGTTGTCCCTATCGACATTTCAGGTCACTTCTCTTACTAATCTGATGTTTATGATATGAAACTGGGCAAAAGCAAAATAATTGCTGCACTCGGCAAGGGTTTAATTTCTTTAAAATCCTAGTGACGAACCTAACAACTATTTTGCTTGATTTTGTTATTAATATTTAGAGTATTTCATAAACCAGGAATTCTGACGTTGAATACTCCATGCCTGAAACTTAGTAGTTGATGCTTATAAAAAATTTGTGCATTTTTCGTTTTGCTGCCTGATTTGTCATTATGTAATGATGTTCATTTGACCTGACATGATATTTTGACTTTGATTTTGGTATGCTTAAGTTGTGTTAGTGGTTATGACAGTGAGGAAAACTTGAGGGCTGCACTCAGCAGAATGGGTGTAAATAGTGGTGCACTGGAGAATGTTATGGATAAAGTGCGAAACAGACATTATCAGGTTATCAGATTGTCAGATTCTGATTTTCCTTCAGGTTCTTGTATTATCTATTTTTAACTTGGATTTACATGTATAAAATTGTCTGCAGTTGGCTTGCACGTTAACATTTGAATCTATTCATGGTTTGTCATATGATGCTGGGATTAATCATCCTAATCAATACTTCAGTGACAGCCAAAAGTTTTTCAAATCTAAGGTACATGCTGATATGATTTATGAACTTTTATCCCATTTAAGTCTCAGAATGTGAATTTTGATACATTTAGAGTTGTTTTGGTGAGGATACGATGTTGAAATTCCACCCCAAAGGAACTGGGATCCAGCCATTAATGGGTCCAAGCAAATATGTTGTCATTAATATGATGATGCATTGCCCTGGTTGAATTATGGAAAACCGATTTGAATGGTCAGAAACAAACAACAGTAAGAGATTATGTAGTAGTTATTCTAACGACTTGTGTACAAGTACTTGGATTTTTTTTTTTATCCCGCTCAACCCCACTCGGGTTGGAATGGCAGATTCAATGGAATTTAGTATTTGTTCCATTTGATTTTTAGAATATCGATGTGGTTTTTGGCATTATCAAACCTAATGTTATGTCCTCTACTCTATTCTGTTCTTGCGGTAAAAGTTGGCCTCAAGCGTTGTCACTTGAGGCATGCTTTTCTCAGTTCCTCAAATATTGAAGTCTGGAGGTCCTAGTTCACTAAATTAAAGAAATCCAGATGCCTTCTTCTATAGCTTTGCTATATGAGAGAAGGTGGAAGCTAACTTTAACGTTTATCTTGCAGAACAATCCTTCTGGACAAGGAGAACCTTTGGACGCCCGATCACCTATATAGGTTTGTCATTTTCTGGACCTAGGTAGCCTCTTCATCAGAACAGTTCATACTTGTACTGTATCTGTGGTGGTCGTGCCACAAATGCTAATTTATTGATTGAATAGTCATTTTAAACTAAATTTTAATTCTATTATCCAGATTTCATTCAAGCAAACCTAGCCTGATCTATCATCTATATAATTCTCAGCTTCTTGTATTTTCACATCAAAACTCTTAATCTTTTCATTAAATCAATTCATAATAAGCAACATTCTTTTCATTCAAATAATCAATTTACTTTATGTTAAAAAAAACCCACTTGTTTCTTTTTAAAACTAATCTCATATTTAGTTAAAGAAGAGCATTTTACCTCATTGAATGTATTTTGATCCACTGTACTAAGTTTTTGATGTGATGTGAATTAAACATAACACTCATTTCCTTTATAGTTGGCTGAATATTTATTTAGTATTGGAGAGCATTGATAATTAAAGGGATATCTTGTATTTGGAGAAGAGCCTGATAAAACATAACAAGCTTCATTGAACAGATGAAGCAAGTCATTTTCATAAATTCATGCCCCACGTTGCGAGCATGGATAGCTTTGGAAAGTTTAGTCATTTTTTAGCAACCCTCCTTGAAAGAAGTTGAACTTGGATCATCCTATGATTGACTCTTGCTTAGACTACCTTTGTTTCTGAATCAAAACATTGATTTCCTGAAGTTCTAGATAATTTTTTAACATTTATTCTTCAAATCTCTTGGCGTGTTCCTCCAAAGACTTCACCATATTGTTTCCATCACGCTTGTTCTTTGATCAAATATAAATTCTTAAAGACGAGCTGATACCACTTGTTAAGGGTCTTCCTTAAACAAAACTTTTTAAGAAAAAGGGAGAAGTAGAAGAAATTGAGAGATAAAACTAGTAATTTATACTGTTAAAAATTGGCATGAGCCTGGCTTGCTACTAGCCGTGAGCTTGTTAGAGTACCAAGTATAAAGAGCTAAAGACCTAGAGATCTTTATATCTTTATAGGTTTTATAGCCTCCATGTTAGGTTATAAAATTTTATTTATTTATTTTTATAATTTTTAATATAAAATATTAATATTAAGAATATTCGTCTCTAATCTTTTATTATTAATAATATTAGTGATATCCTACGTAAGATACTTATCTCTTATTAATTTTATCATCAGAAGAAAATGATTCTTCAATCTTTTAACTCCATCAAAATAATAAAGTTTAATGATTATAGATATCTTCTAAATTATTATTTATAATTTTTATTATTAGAAAAATTATATTTTAATTGCAAAGCATTAGTTATATTAAAATTAAAATTAAACACTCTTGTTTTTAAGAATCAGCGCTTATTTTTTTATTTTTTTTTATTTATTGTAATAATTTGCTTAAAGATTTTAGACTTTATAATATGAAGGTCTTCAAATCTCATTAAACTGTTTTGCAGGTCTTACAATAAGGAATAGACTATCTTAATACAACATGTGATTAATCTATAATACAACCATTAAAAAAACTATTTCTAGACACTTTAGATTTTGTACCATCATAATGCATGTACAAAGCTACTACTATAAATTTCATATTTATACATTGAAAAGCTTTCTTTAGTCTGCCATGCTGATTCTTTGTCCTCCATTTTGGTTTCTTCAATGGTAGTTTCCTTAGCAAGTATACGATGGAAAGTCCCACAAATTAGCCTCTATGTTTGCGTCTTCTATATACAAAAAAAGTTAATTCTAATTGTTTCATATCATAACATTATTTTAAATTTTTTTATTAAATTATATTTTTACCAATCATCTAAATTATTTTTAAGTTTATCAAATAAATTAGTTTGATTAAATATTCATGTATTTTCATTTTTTCCCCTACTAGTACAGTACTACCCAAAACAGCCTTCAAAACTAAAATATATCATTTCAATTTTTTTTTAAAAAAAAACAGAATGCCAGCCATAACAGATTTGCAGCATTCCTTCAAAGCTTCCATCCTACACCTCACTGGGTCTCCCTCGTGCATCATCCTTTGCCCGCTCAAGCTCTCGCCTGTCGCTGCATTCCTACGTATAAAAAATGTATTCTCTCCCTCCCAAGTTTTTTACAAGCGGTTCTTTCTTTATTTACAGAATTGTCAGTACGCAAAACTACCTATATTTTCAACTTAAGCAATTATTCTGTCAACAACAGTCTCTCTTGGGATAGGTCATTTGATTCAATACAGTTGAGTTGACAAATCATGGCGAATACAAAGTATACATAAAAAAGTGTATTCAGAGGAACAGATTAACTCGGGGGGGGTTTTCCCAGGCATCAGTGCTTGCAAATTGTATCTTTTATACAGTATTTTTGTACTCTAGCATGCTAAATATTGATGAATCAACATGTTACATGAAATATTTTTTGAAAAATAATAAAGTTTAAACAACATATAGCATCAACTGTCATTTGCTTTTAATAAGGAGAGAGGAAGGAGAGAGAAAATACAATTTTTTTTTTGAAAACAGATCAAAATTTTAATAATGATATTATCGATATTATTAAAAAAATATTAATAAAAAAAATTTAATAAAATAAAAAAAATATTATCAACAATAATTAAAATAAGTCAAAATCAAGTAAATTTTAATATGCTTTCAAAAAACATTTCTCTCTCTTTTTGCTTCTCTTTTTATTAAATCATATTTATTATTATCATGAAAATTTAATATAACTTCAAGTTTTTTTTTTTTTTTATCTCTCTTCTCTTTCCTTGTTAAATCTTATGTCACGAATTTTACAACCTGAAATTGTCGGTATTACAAGTGCTAGCTCGCAGTCATCTATGAACTTTTAAAATATGTTAATTTTCTAAATATTTTTTGCACTAAAAGAACTCATCTTATATAAGCTAAGAAATAAATTGCCATAACGTTATGTGTTTCCTTATTTTAGCATGGGGCGTTATCTTGGCCTGTGAAAGTCGTACTTTTAACCAAACATGATTCTGTGTGATGGTTCGGCTCCATGGTTGGGAAACGCTAAAGACGGAAGAAATGAAAAGCAGATGGAAAATATCAGTGGAAGGGAATATTCCTCAACAGAGATGCCAAAGCACTGCTACCATGCACTGTTATGTAAAGGTATCTTTGAAATACGTTTTTTTTTTTTTTGTTGGAATCTTCTTTGAAATAGTTGATGGCTGTAATGAAAACATATGAACTTTTCCAGGGCATTTTTTTATGTATATTATTATAGGAGGACCCTCACTATGGTACATGTTAATGGATAGTGTGAAGGTTTTTTTTTTTTAAAAAAGAATTTTTTTGTTTAAAAATATATTAAAGATTATTTTTATTATTTTTTAAATTTATTTTTGATATTAATATATTAAAACAATTAAAAATATAGAAAAAAATAATTTAAAACTTAAAAAAATTCAAAAAATTTTAAATATATAATTAAACTACAATATTAAACACCACCACGTCTTTAATGATATGTTGAGTAGTGTAGTAAACCATAGGAAATATAAAGTGAAATTTTGGGTCATTTCTACCCTTTCACATTTTAATTTGTATTTACATGTGAACACTTGAAAGATATTTAAAAATACAGTAACGATAATTTTTTATTTTTTATTTTAAAATATATTAAAATAATATTTTTTTAAAAAAATATTATTAACATCAATACATAAAAATAATATAAAAACATCAAAAACATATTAATTTAAAATAAAAAAATAAATTTTTTTTCATTTTCTTATAAACATTTTTTAAACACAGTTGCAAACACTGTCTAATCCGTTTTGTACATCTGAAGAACATGGTTTATTGGAAGGGACCACGTGTGGGAATTAACTCAAAGTGCGAGGGATGTTAAGCCCAAAATTAAAAGTATAGGGGCTAGAATGAATAAATATAATTAAGCCCCTTGAAGGATGAGGGTGCGCGTGGTTCTCCGGCTCTCGTATTCTTATTATAGACTTCATAATAGAAGAAGTAGCAGCAGCAAGTTGTACCTCAGCATATTTCAGCGGGCTGCAAGTAAGGCCTTTCTTGCTATGCTGGAGCAAGGCGAAGTTTCCATTTTTCTCCATCACTTTATTATTTATTTTGCAGCTTCACGGAGATGGGATCTCAATACTCCATCACATCTGCAATGAGGTAAGATGAGAGTTCGAGCTCAAAAGGTCGAATAAAGCAAAGGGCCCAGCTTTTTACTCAAATTGCAAGTGTTTATTTTCGTGTGTTTTAAAAATATTTTTAAATAAATTTTACCTTTTATTTTAAATTAATTTATTTTAATATGTTAACATATAAAATTAATTTTTTAAAAATAAATATAAATATTATTTCAATATATTTTTAAATAAAAAATATTCGATACCAAACTCTAAAATACATATATAATAAAAAATTAATCACCGGTCATGAAAATTATGCGGCTGCTATAGCCCCGCTTAAAAGATAAGATTAAATATTTATATTTATTTTTAAAATTATTACATTAATTAAGATAATATAATAATATTAAATTAAAATTAAAAATTTAATTGTTTTTAAAAAAGCTTCCTCCACACTCCAAAAAAAAAATATAAAAGTTGAGCTTAGCTTTGTTTTAGACTTGTTTAAAAATATAGTTATTATTGTTTATAAAATGTTTTTTATTTAATAATATATTAAAATAATATTTTTTATTATTAAAAAATAATTTTAAAATTAGTATATCAAAATAATATAAAAATAATAATATAAAAATAATAATAAAAAAATATTTTAAAAAAGTAAAATTTATTTATTTTAAATAAAATAAACAATGCTTTTATGTGCCCCCGCCAACCTACCCTGCTCTAACCTAGCGCCTCTTTTTTGTCCTTGGGTGCTTATGCTCCGTGTTGCGAAAAGGATTCCTAGTGGTAGGATACCTAATGTTCGTATCTTTTGGTAATTTCCCCTGTTCCCAACCACAAATACTTGACTTTTTGCGCTTCGTAAATGTCAACAATAACTTGAACTCCACTTGAAAAAAAAAACTAATCACTTCATTATCTCTTAACTAGTCTTAAATTCTAAAAAATCATTTATTTTTAAGATTATAGAATTTTAATAATACAAGAATTCCTGGGGACTCTAAATCCATATAAATCTAAATCCTAACTGATGTTGAA